CCAATCTATAGCTTCATGGAGATCTCTCCCAAGTTAGAGCCCTACCCAACTCTTGAACCCCTTCCTAGACAAGATAATGTTCTTTCAGGGCCTATACTTTTAACTTGCAAGAGGCTTCTTGTCTCTTAAGAAAATATGGCTCATGAGAATCAAAAGTTTTGGCTTTCAGTTGCATTTTTTCTTAACTATCATGGGGTTTCAAAGCATAGTTTTATAGTAAAAAAAAACCCAAAAACTAAACAACTGTTTTTCCTTTCTGATTTTACAGTCAATTCTGGAGGCAACAAGAATGACACTGACTAAAAAGGTCATGAGTAAGAATGTGCAGAAAAGATAACCCCACAGTTTTTTTCCAGATATTTTTCTCTCTATGGGCTAAACAAGAGAATTCTGAGACAATCTCCATTGAACTCTTCCACATTCTATATGCAGCTAAAGCTCCCATCTGCACATCCTTCTGGTATAACCTATACCTGGGACCAGTGACGTAACTTATAGGGCCCTGAGCAAAATGAAAATGCAAAGTCCTTTGTTCAAAAATTATTTAATCTGAGAGCAGGCCATTAAACCCAGGGCAGGGCTCTTGTAAGCATGAGGCCCTGCAGAGACTGCATGCTCAAGCCAGCTCTGTATACACTTTCAAAGTTAAGTCAAGGCCTGAGTGACCCAAAGTTTCATTCAATGGAGCTCCAGGTTTCTGTGTCTGAGTGCTACGTGTTCTAAAAGTTGTTCTTTTGTATTTCAGAGACACAAATTACATTTCCCACCCTATCTTGCAATCAGGAATTGCCATAAGAAGGTCCTATGTAAGGCCTCACTCTTTATCTGCCAATCAGCCAGATTCAAAATAACTCAGGAGAGAATTCTATCATTTTAAAGAATAGTGGAGCCACAAAATAGAAGAGGTCTAGATCCTTGAATCATCACATGGCAGACTGCCTGCCAAATATTACACTGAATTGTCAAATGAAGGAGAAATGTAATAAATGTATTTAAAAAAACTATAGCTTTTATTATGTAAAAACCAGAGAAATTTTGGGGTTTACTATAACATTTGCCATACCTTGATTGTATGTTAGGACTAGCTTATGTTAAAATAACAAAGGACACCAAAATCTTAATATAACAAAAATTTATTTCTTATTTCTGGTATGCCATCCAGAAGATGATACTCATCATAGCTGCTCAGGGAACCAGGATGGTAAAATTTCACCATGACTTATGTTTCCATGATCATCACAGCAGTGGGAAAGAACCATGATTATATATTGATTTTTCAGGTGTCTGTGTGTATGTGATACATCACTTCTACTTACATTTCAAAGATCATAAGTCAAAATGGCTATGCCTATCTTTAAAAAGAGCAAAGAAGTATAATTCCATGTGCCAATAAAGGGGGAATCCAGGCATCTTTTGTACGTAACAGTCATGAGTACCACATGAATATAAATGTTGGTTTTGGAAGGGGAGTGCTGCCATACAGAAACTTAAAATATGTTGTATAGCGTAAGTAGACAGGCAGCAGGCAGCAAAAAAAACAGTAGCAGGTTGGTTAGCTGGAGATCTCTAGTGTACCTCTATAAAATATTTAGTAAAACTGTCCCCCCGTGAAAAGTAGAAGGTAGATCATGAGCCTAGTGAGACTAATTCTAAGGGAAGTAGATAGAGGAAGGGTAATGGTGTGAAGTGACATGATCTTTTTGCAAAAATCATATTAGGGGGATTACTTTTGTTATCCAAACCTATTGTTTCAGTTAGCCTCCAGAAAGCCATCATTAAGTTGAGAGGGGCATTTGTATGAGGAAGCAAAGAAATCATTCTTGATAATTACATATAGGAAAGAACTAGATATGAAATTTAGAATATGAAACTAAAAGCAAATATATCAGAAAGCCTATTAAGTTTCTAAGGGAGTTGTACAGTTAATGAAACCATGTGCCTGGACTAAAAAAGACTGAGCAATCATCAATCACCCACAGTTTCCCCAGAAAGCCCAGATAACTTATTTTTTCAGTTTATAGGCTGTACCTTGAGGACCCACATTTAAACCTGATGGTAAGGCCTGTGCTTCACATGGAGATGTGATTAACTGACTTCACAACCTCATTCCTGACAAGTACACTAGATATGTGATAGGAATAACTTTCATTGGTCTCAGTGAATAAGTTTCTTAATGTAAATTTTCAAATTTCCTACTTGTTAGATATCTTTAGGGATCAAAGGGGCCAAGTCAATGTTGAAGAATAGGAACTGTAACTTGGCCTCTTCTTTTGTTTTAAATGTATCCTGGGCTACCCTGTTGAATATACTGATGCTCCGTTTTTTTGGTGTTCTGGTCTCTTAGCAACAGGCTGTGATGTTAGAGGGTTATTTATCAAAGAATTTATCCAAAAAAAGATGCTAGACTGTGAAGCAGAAAGCTCTGATTTAACTGCATGTTATTCAACAATCGTGTTATGTAAATAAGAATGGAAGTAGAAATAGAAAATAAAAGACTCAAAATAACAGTTTATGTGAACATTTTTATTAATAATTGTCATGGTATTAAAAACGCTTTCCCTTCAGCACTTTACATCAGTGGTTATGTATTTTTAAAAAATACTATTTTAAAAAAAGAGTATTTGAAAAAATACTATTAAAAAGCAGTTACAAGTCTGAGCAAGACTGTTTCCTGCAATTAAAAGGTAAGCTAGATCATGCACACAGTAAAAGCAGCATCAAAGCATCTAAAAAAATAGGCCACATCACTACGGAGGGAAAGATTATCTATTAATATGTTTTGATAATGTTTTACGCTAAGAACCTAGCATACTTCATTACACCGAAAGGCATAATTAAAAGCACTATATCAGACAAATGTTTACCACATGATATGGTACAGGTGCAATAAACTATGTTTGGAAACAAACTTACATGTGAATGTGTAGCAGAGCTTTTCTCATTCTAAGCAAATGTGAATTTTCTGAAATCAGTAAAAATAATACTGTTATCAACAATAGAAATGCTGAGAGGAGTCACTTAGAAAATGTAGCTAATATGTTAGGAAAAAAATTTCCCCTTTTCTCAATTCCTTTTAGGAAAATAGGATTTTCTATATTTGACACTGTAGTGGACATTAAATACAGGGATGGGCAAAAGTAGGTTTGCAGTTCATATGGTAATACAATAATTAATAAACACAAGAATAAACTTTCATGTACTCATAACTGTAAACCTACTTTTGCCAACCCCTATATAATGCCTTACTATAATGCTGATGGGGTTTTTTTAACATTGACCTCAGGGTACTGCTTACTTTTCATGAATCGATAAAATTAATATTCAAAAATTATTAGTCCATTATCAAAAATTGTTATTGAAAAATAAGATCTATTCATACATTTGTAATGATTGCCTGACTATTCTACATTTTAAAATGTAATATACCTTAAAAGCAAAACAAGTTCTACCTAATTCATTCAACTACTGAGTGCCTATTATGTACCAGACATTTTACTAGATGCTGAAGATCCAGAAAATGAATTAGATATAGACCCTGCCCTAGAGAAAATCATAGTAGAAAAAAGATACATAAACTGATAATGGTACTTTACAACTGACAAAACCATGAGAATGTGAATGAATTAGCTTTAGATTAAACTGGCAACTATGCGTAGGATACAGGGAAATACTAAAGGCAAGAGAGCACCTGCAATGCTAATCATGATCCAGAAGTAAATTAATGAGGGACTAAATTAAGGTTAAGGCAATGGAAATATAAAGAGCACAAATGATGTAAATCAAACCAAAGAGGAAAATCACAGGCTAAGATCAAAATGGATCTTCAGGGGTAATACAGACACAAAAAATAGTAACAGAACTATCAGATACTCCATCCCCAAAGGTGGACTATAGGAACAGAAAAGGGCCAAGGCGCAGTCAACAGCATTATTAGTTGGAACACCACATTGGCTGCAGCTAAGTCAAATCAACCTGTATTCATTCCCTGCACAGCACCTCTGGCAATGAGAGGCACATGACCCCAGGAGGAAGTAATGAGTATAAATAAGGTCTTAGGGCAGTGTCCTGGGTGGCTAGTGACACCTACGGTCTAAGTGCCCATCAGTAGATGAGTGGATAAAAAGCTGTGGCACATTTACACCATGGAGTACTAGGAGGCTACAAAAAAGAAGGAACTCTTATCTTTTACAATAGCATGGATCAACCTGGAGATTATGCTGCTAAACAAAATGAACGATCCAGAGAAAGACAAAAACGATATGATCTCACTTATATGTGGAACTGAATAAACAAAGTGAGGAAAAAAATAGAGCTAGAGGCATGGACACCTGGAACAGACTGACAGAGGTCAGAGGGAAGGGGGTGGGGACTGGATGAAAGAAGGTTGAAGAGATTAGCCCAAGAACGTATATGCATAGCCCGCGGANGAACCGAATGAACAAAATAAACTGACAAACAAAATAGAACTAGAGGCTCAGATACACGGGACCAATGTCAGAGGGGAGGTGGAGGCGGACGGGATGAACGAAGGTGAAGGGATTAGTCAGGGAACATATATGCACAGCCCACGGGCACAGACCACAGTGTGCTGATGGCCAGAGGAGGGGCCGAGTGCAGGTGGGCAAAGGCGGAGGGGAAAGTGGGGGGCATCTGTAATAGTGTCAACAATAAATAAATTTAAAAAAAGAAAGGGAAGTATTTATTCCCAGTAGATCAGCACCAAGATATCTAGTCCAGAAATATTTTCTATTTGCTCTTTTCCTTTCATGGAAAATCGAATGAAAACTCCAATG